TACCAGATATTGGCAAATTAGCACGTGATGCCATTCCCCCTTTTTTTAAGAACCACTATCACATTTTTTCATTGTTTTTTTTTACAATCTCAATGGTTTTTTCACTTTAAATTGTTTAATATTATATTAATTGTATTTCTGTATTTTTCCACTGAGCACTATTGTGTTGGCACGGATTGCATTACACAGCACGATAGTATTACACGTGTTAGATTCGAACTGTATAGCGCTTCACTGTATATTTATATTTTGTGTTTACACGTGTATATATATGTGAGTTTGCGCAGCCCTGCCATCCTGTAGCAGTATTTCTGCTATAGGTTGGTGGGCAACTGGTTAACTCCAATAATGTACAGGAGCAAATAATGACTTTTGTATGACTCATATCTACAGTCAGAGCAGCTATTGTAGTCATCTGGGAATTTGATGATTTTAACATGCTATCAAATGACAAGTCACACTGCCAGGGACATAATCTAGTATATGGCTCATTTATATTGAAATCAAAAACAGTAAGAGATAAAAAATAGAAATTAAAGCAGAACTCCAGCCAATTTTTCATCTCATTTTGGTCACAAAGGGTAGGTAGAATACCTGTTAAGATCTGAATGCTGTCTTTGTCCTGTGATCCTTGATGACAAATGTCAAAGATTAGATTTCCCCTCATTTTTGTTCCCCAACGGGGACAGAAACAGTAATAAAAACCTGACAGAAGTTCTAAACCCTTACCCAGTTTTTTCACAGAGATCTACATAAAAGGATAAGTTCACCTTTAGGGAAAAAAATAATAAATGCACATAATGACTGGAGTTCTGCTTTAAATTTTTATCTTATCCTATTGTATTTGATTTCAATAAAAATGAGCCATGCAGTAGAATATGTCCCTGGCTGTGTGACTGCACCATTCTGTTGCTCTTTTCATAAAACATCTATATCCATTTGTTCTTTATACAGTATATACTCATAGCTGGGCATCTAACACTTTCTGGTCTTTCAGATTAAACAGTTGTGGGATTGGGAAGCTTGACGTGGCTCCGCTCATGAAAGCATTGACGCAGAATCCTAATCTGCGGGAAGTCAGGTGCGTCACTTAGAATGAATTGTGCTCATCTCCCGCGTTCATGTGTGATTGTGGCTATTAAACTAGATCTATACTTAAAGCGGTATTAATCCCCAAACCAAAAATCTGATTTGTTTCAGCTTACCAATCATTAGATTTGTTGGCTGCATCAATTTTCTTTTGTTTGGCCTTTTCCCTCTGTTTTCACCTGATGATCTGGACAATAACACATCTCCTGTATAAGTAAGACACCACTCTGGAGGAATGAGCACAGGACACAGCAGACAGCAGCACTGTCAGTCCAGGGTAGGAGAGTGTTAAATGTATTAGCAGATTTAAGAACAGTAACTAATTGAAGCCAAACTTCAGTTCACACCTTAATGATCAGTTGCAGTAAATCGTTTTTTCCTTTTGGCATAAAGGTTTTAAATTAATAAATAATCATTTTAATCACCCTTGGAAGTGGTAAATGGTTTGTCTAATCCCTGTAAACTAATACATTCTGCTGGAAAGTTTGAGCTTTCATAAGAGAACAGATTTGCTGGCCAGGTCATCAGATGAAGGTAGAAGAAGGAAAGCATAAAAAAGAAAACTAATGCAGCTATCACATCTAAGAATTGGTAAGATGCAAAATAGTAAATGTTTGCTTTTGGGTTTAACCTCCCTGGTGGTATTCCCGAGTGTAGTTTGGGGTAAAGTTTCAGTACCAAAAGCGGTAACCCCGAGCTACACTCGGGAATACCTTGCGGCGCTGCTCCGGGATCCCTCGGTCACTTACCTTGTCCTGCGCTCCCACGATGTCCCTCCTGCAGCGCCCCCGGCAATGTAATCCGGCGGATGCCGGCATCTTTTATCTGGGTTCTGTCCCCTGCGAGCGTCGGGACGTACGGGGGACGGAACGGCGGGAAATTTGAAAATGACAATAAGTGACATTCACTAAAATCACTAAAATCACATAGTATAACTATACTGTATCACAGCATTTCACATACATTTTGTCCCTACTGCTTTGTCCTGTGCCCTGCCTGCATTTTTACTCTTCTTTCTGCCTGGAAACTGAGAAACGTCCATGGCGTACAAAAAGCGTCCCTTTAGGTCAAAAGCAATTTTAGACAGCTAGAGAACAGCGATAGAAAATTAGAACTCCTTGCAGAATTGAGTGATAATGATTCGTGGGGAAATTCGTCATCAGACACTGAAAACGATTTTGCGACTAAGCTCAGTGATGTGCAAACGTGGCGCTCTATTTCAAATTTCAGTGTTTTTGGTTTGATTATATTATTGAATTAAATTTATTATTATATTATTATTTTTTTTATGATTATTTATTAAATTATAATTTATGATTTCGTGTTTCAAATTGTAACATACTGGGGATGTTTACTAGACTCTTGTTTGGACAGATTTCAGTGAATTATTCCTAGAAATTACAGGTCTACAATAAAAAAAATACATATTTCCATGCAAAAAAATGTACCGCTTTCAGCACAGAAATATGGACATATTCAGACCGCTAGGGAGGTTAATACCACTTTAAATGCTATTAACAATTTTACATTGAGACATACCCCAGCCACTCCAGTCTCTGATTCTTGAACTACAATAATAGCATCATCTGGGGTCTAGGAAGAGGAAGACTTGCCAGGAGATAGTTTTTCAACAGCACAGTACTGTGAAATGGAATATAAAGTGGACTAGGGAAAAGAGCAGCAGCAAAATGCCTACTATAATTAAGGAGGCATTAAGGAGGCAACATATTGCCTTACCACCTGTCAAACATTCTCTGAAAAGCAACTCCCCACACTCTTCATTGGGTGACATCAGTGTAAATGAGCCCTATATATTGCATTTATCATATTAGCCCCCTTGCACTAAATCTCTTCATAGGAAAAAAAATGTTCAAGGTTGAACCATGTTTATTAGGTGTTCAAGCGGGCATTAAGGAGGCAACATATTGCCTTACCACCTATCAAACACTTTCTGAAAAGCAACCCCCCACACTCTTCATTGGGTGACATCAGTGTAAATGAGCCCTATATATTGCATTTATCATTTTAGTCCCCTTGCACTATCTCTCTTTCATAGGAAAAAGAATGTTCAAGGAATAACACTGGTAAAAAAGAATAAAGGGGTTAAAGAAGGTAAAAGTATAAAAACCCATGAATGCTTCACTGAGGCACTTTGCATTTGTTCAAATCAAACATCACCCTTGGGTTTAAAAATCTGCACAACTTTGAATAAAAATGATGTCTACGTTATCTTCTACTGATATACTAAAAATTATAAGGAGATGGTTGTCTGCTGTGGGCATCCTAGACAGTTCATACAAGAGGCCCATTAGCAGCTAGAAATGTCAGAATTGATTGGAGTTCATCACTAAGTGTCATAAAATCCACTTTTTACAGCATGTGCATGAATCACCTCTCAGAAGATGGCATCCTTGCTTTGCTGACTTTCCTTAGTTCTTGCAAACAGGTAACGCATTTCACTGCCTGGTAAGTTGAAGCTCTTCTAACATCTTGTAGTATCATATTGAATGATGTACAGCTTAGTTCACACTGAATTCTCAGCAGTCCTGTAACTCTGAATCAGCATTAAAGGGAAATAGTATTTTGCACAAAGTACCAGGCAGCCTAAGGGCTCATGTACACTGCAGCTGATAAACTCATGTTTAGTTAGGAGCTTTTCTGCATTTTTTTCAGCAGCCCCGGAACTCTCCCTAATGTTTTCCTATGTGTCCATGTACACCATGTCGTTTACAGGCAGTTGAGTTTACAGTTGTTTTTTTGAACGCACCAAACATGCGTTCAGGAGTAGATTTTACCGGCGTTTCAAACGCCAAAGGCTTGTAAATGCAGTTAACTGCGTTTATAACCGTTTGCATTTAGAAGTGTTTTAAACTGTTCCATATCCAGATGCTGTCCAGAGCCTTTTTTCATCATCAGAAATGTATGCAAAGTGTTTTCCATGTATTCAAATGGACCCGGTACACCAGCGCAGCCAGTTCCAGGTTTTGCGTGAAGAAAAAAATGGTAGAATGTGCCGCATTATGGGATCTATAGTGAATACAACCAGATAAGACAACCTCTCTCTGCTTCTGCTCTCTCTATTCCTCTCAAAATGTCTGAAATAGTTAATTTTTTACTTTTTCAGTAGATTCCGGGCATTTGGGAAAGTCTCCTGAGGTTATCTTTTAAAAAACGCTTCTAAACGCAAACGCTCATAAATGCAGTATGCAAACGCGGCTAAACTGCCGCTTTTTAACCTACGTTTTCCAGCAGTCAGTTTCCATCGTTCAGAAGAGTTTTCCAAACACCAGTGTACATGAGCCCTAATACTGATCCTGGTCGGAACAGTACAGCTCAACAGAGGACTTCAGGTGGTATGACTTCCACAGACTGTGGCTTTATCACAATGGTGAAAGACTTCTCATCTGAAGGTGTGTTGGGGGTACATTCTTATTAAAAGGCTGATAAGATGAAATGTGATTGCTCTGAAACTAGTGTTGGCCCAGAATTCAGAGAAAGAGTATTGCCATTAGGTGTTCAAAACAGCCTACCAGGAGCGGACTAACAACTCATGGGGCCCCCGGGCAATAGGGGATCATGGGGCCCCTTTGTCCTCGCCAACACCCAAACAAGCCTATGAAAAAGCCAATGAAAGGTACCAGGGGCATCTCATGGGGCCCCCTACTGACCACAGGCCCTCGGGCAGCACCCGAGTGCTCGAATGGTCAGTCCGCCCCTGCAGCCTACTAACACAGGTATCTATACTTTTTTTTTTTTTTTACAAATTCCCTTCAATAATCCTAATGAAAACTAAAACAGTCTATTTATGGACTGATCCCCTATCAATTCTGGAAGAAGAGTTAAAGTGTTACTAAACCCAGGACCCTGCATTCACTATATCTGGTCTCCCCGGACCCTGCATTTACTATACCTGGTCTCCCCGGACCCTGCATTCACTATATCTGGTCTCCCCGGACCCTGCATTCACTATATCTGGTCTCCCTGGACCCTGCATTCACTATATCTGGTCTCCCTGGACCCTGCATTCACTATATCTGGTCTCCCTGGACCCTGCATCACTCACTATATCTGGTCTCCCTGGACCCTGCATTCACTATATCTGGTCTCCCTGGACCCTGCATTCTCTATATCTGGTCTCTCCGGACCCTGCATTCACTATATCCGGTCTCCCCGGACCCTGCATTCACTATATCTGGTCTCCCCGGTCCCTGCATTCACTATATCTGGTCTCCCAGGACCCTGCATTCACTATATCTGGTCTCCCAGGACCCTGCATTCACTATATCTGGTCTCCCACAGTACACAGAACATGGAAATGCAATAACTTTAGTAAATATAAACTGCTAAATACTTTTTCTCATCAGCAATATATAGCAGTCTGGTGACTTCTATCAGTGTCCAGCTGATACAGGATTTATATAGCGCCAACAGTTTGCTCAGCGCTTTACAATATAATGGGAAACAATACAGCAACAATACAGTTCAATACAAGAGGGATAGGAGGGCCTGATCCTGGGAGCTTACAATCTAAGATGGTTGTACACAAGTTGACTTATCAATCAGCTTGTGTACAACCAGCTTGTTGGGTTTTTCCCCAACAATCAGTGCCGCCGGCAATAGCCAGCAAAACTGATCATTGTATTCTGATGGTGGGAAAGTCTTCTTGCTGTCAGAATACACTACCACATCCGGAAGGGTTCCCCCATCCACCTTGACTGTGTGGGTGGGAATTGGCTTTTTTTTTACGTTCAATCCACTAGCTGAACAAAAAAAAAAAACAAGAACCATGTATGGCCAGCTTCAGTCATCTGCCTCTGTGACCATCCAGCACTTAAACCTATTGCAATATTTCCAGTCCTGTAATGCTGTGGTTTGAAATAAATATGCTGTATAGCAGATGACAGTTTCATATTTACTGGGAAAAAAGAAAAGATCTTGGATTAGTCATCTTCCTGGAAAATATATGACCAGTGTGAGGAAACTTCACTGACCTTCTACTAAATGAGTAGATAAAGGAGGTACAGTTTTTGTAGTACTGAAAGCTGGTGAAGAGATGACCTTGGGTGTTCGTGATTTTATACAAAGGCCGCTCTCACATCCCTGCGTTAGATATGTTCAGCACGTTGCATCCTCTATGTCATTTCCAGCAAAATGCACGTTACATAGAGGTCATTAGTAACGCATTTAATAACTGTCTAAAATGCCAGTACAATCCACTGCACCGAAAATGTGCAGATGTGAAGGAGGCCTAAAGCATTACAACCATTCAGGTTTTGATGTGAGTCCACCCAGTGCTGATATTTTGGTTTTGGTAGATGCAGGAGAAATAAAGCCCCTGATAATTTCTGATATTTCTCTGGGATTTTATTGATCTTTTGTATTGATTAGTGAGATCTCTGTGTTTGGGTTTCTTGGCCTGCCTACCTACAGTGACAATTATGAGGGGTTTCCACTCTCCCTGTTGGATTTTGTTGGGGTTTTTTTATTATTATACTATAGAGCAGTGTTTCTGAACCTTTTTTCAGTGATGACATCCTTTAAAAGTATGCAAAATCTTGAGGTATCCCACTAAAATATGGGGTCACTTATCACATCAGAAGCCCCCCTTTCATATCAGAGTCTTCGGTCCCCCTTCTTCTTTCCCCTCATCTTTCACATCAGAGTCCTTACTACTCCCCTCCCTTTAACATTAGACTCCCGACTTTCCCCCTTTCCTAAAGTCCTTAGTCTCCCCCCAATTAACATCAGAGTCCTTACTACCCCCTTCCTTTCACATTAGACTCCCTACATTCCCCCTTTCCTAAAGTCCTTAGTCTCCCCCCATTCACATCAGAGTCCTTACTACCCCCTCCCTTTCACATTAGACTCCTTACTTTCCCTCTTTCCTAAAGTCCTTAGTCTCCCCCCATTCACATCAGAGTCCTTACTACCCCCTTTCCTAAAGTCCTTAGCCTCCCCCCATTCACATCAGAGTCCTTACTACCCCCTTTCCTAAAGTCCTTAGTCTCCCCCCATTCACATCAGAGTCCTTACTACCCCCCCCCTTTCCTAAAGTCCTTAGTCTCCCCCCATTCACATTAGAGTCCTTAGCCCTACTTGCTGATATTCACTACATCGTGGCCATGGCAGTATGGCAGTGGGTGGGAGGCAGAGCAGGTCTCAATGGATGTGGACTTCAGTCCCCTTCTGAATGCTGGGGCTGGCCTGAATGCTGCCTGCCCTGGATTAGTGTAATGTGTTTCCATGGTGCTGGTTCTTGGCCTGCCTGCACCATGGAAACGCATGATGCTCTGCAAAAACACCAGATGCAGCATGGCACCTCTGACAGAACCAGGCGGCACAACACCGTGGTGCCACAACATGCATAAATTGGGTGACAACACCTTTTATTCCCAGATGGAAAGGCACATTGGGAACATAGCAACTGTGGCAGACAATTGTCTGTGTATGCAAGACATATAAGAAGCCGGAGTCTGACTCAGCCCAACTATACTTAAAATTTCACTTTTGGGAAGACTGACCCATTGACACGGCTGAACCACCAATTGGAGCAGGCTGCATACCCCTTTGCAAATACATACGGTCTAAGGATTTTATCTGCTACATAGATGTCCTTCAGCTAATAGTCTTAGGCCATGATGAACGAGGCCTTTTTAACCCCTGAAACACATTGGTAATACCTTACTCTGCAAAAAAATAAACTTTATTAGGATCCCAAAAACCATATGGCACTCTCTTCTCTTTTCATTTGAAGACTCTTTTTGAAGGACCCTGGAGCCATGACATATTTATGAGCTGCCTGGATCCAATAAATATCTCTACACCTATTAGGCATAGTTACCTATAACAGAGGCCAACATCCCACCACCTTGTGACTTTTTAGGGCTGGTTCACACTGGATGCGATTTGCATGCCCTGTGACTTGCAAATCGTATGCCAAGTCGCTCTCTATTGTCCGCTATCAAAGCGGTCATATCGATGCGGTTCCGACTTGGTCGGAGCCGCACTGACTTCATAAGTAGTATATGTGCAGTGAAGTCGCACAATTTCAAAATTGGGTGAGATGCCGATTTCAAAATCGGATTTGATGTGAACGGAGCCTTAAGAAGGCAGTGCCATGGAAGAGAGTAATATTATTATTATTATACAGGATTTATATAGCGCCAACAGTTTGTAGACATTACAGTTACAATACAATTTGGTACAAGAGGAAACAGAAGGTCCTGTAGAGCTTACATATAGAAAAAGATGAAGGCTTAGCTGACCAGTCAAATATGCCAACAAGGCTTTGTTATTCCCCACGTGGAAGAAAAGTATATTTGAAATAATTTTTCAAAATATTATTCCCAAATATATTGCCATATATTTGAAATGCTACAATTTTGGCCATATTCAATATATTTCGAAATATATTTCAATAAATATATATATACACATACACATATATACACATATATACACTGCATGTTCAAATGCGTTTTTATTACAACATATATGAAAAATATTTTTTAAAATATATTACAAACATAGTGTATGTCTTTAAAAATACAAATCTACATTTTTGAAATGCATTTACAAATATATGTAAAGATGTAAAGATATATGTTAAAATGATTTTTTTATATGTTAAAAAAAATCTGAAGAATATATTTAAAAAATAGATATTTTGAAAAATATCTATTTTTTAAATATAGTCTTCAGATTTTTTTTAACATATATAAAAATAATTTTAACATATATTTGTACATATATTTGTAAATGCATTCCAAAAATGTAGATTTGTTTTTTGTAAAGACATACAGTATATTTGAAATGTATTTTTTAAAAATATTTTTCATATATTTTGTAATAAAAATGCATTTCAACATGCAGTATGTATGTATGTGCATATATATATATATATAATATATATATATATTGAAATATATTGAATATGGACAAAGTTGTAGCATTTCAAATATATGGCAATATATTTGGGAAGAATATTTTTAATATATATATACTTCAAATATATTTTTCTTCCATAAGGGTCAAGCGCTGAGAGTTATGTGTATAGGACCACGAATAATGACAGCTTTTAGAGGTGAATATTATAAGCTTCCTAGAAGAAAAGGATTTTTTAACAAAGCTTAGAAGTATAAATCCTGGTAAACAAGCTAGTGGAAATTACTTTATAAACTGTATTATATCTCTAAATCTGTATTTGTATTAATAATTTATATTTTTGACATTATAGTGGTACAAAAACAGTGTGTTTGGCTGATTCATCTCATGACACTGAAAGCGCTCGCATCAGCCAGATGGGTTTAACGAATATGCATGTACTGTGCTTATTTAATTTCCTTTTGCCGAACACAAGACTAATGATGAGCTTGGGAAAATGCCAAGAGTAGTGAGGAACCATTGCATTGACAGAACTGTGGACAGACATTGTATATTAACCTCTCAGTAGTACAGTCAGCAGGTCGTTTCGGGACACTGCAAAGTGCATCAGAATGCAAGGCCTCCCCAAAATGTATAGGTACCCCCTGAATATAGCATTTCCTGTAACTTCGTTGGTAAGGGTGCCCACCCATTATAAATAAATATAGATATATACAATGCTTTGCCTTCTAGCAAAACAACACTTGAAGCAGGTTGATCCAGGTTACTCCTCCATGGGCATCGTATATCATTTCTGTATTGGCAACAGTTCTTGAAAATCAATCCATAATAAACATTGATGTCTGGTATGCTGCGGAGGACCCTGGAAAATAGGGAGCTGTAATGAGGAAAGAATGACCCACTCACATGACCACCGGCACTAGCCTGTCTCCCCTTCCATCACTATGATAGGCAATCTCACCAAACAATACCAAAGCATAGGGGGTGGGTTAGAGCCGGCACCCTTGGAACCCAGTTGCTGTTTCCCATCAGAGTGCCCATTCTTCTGTGTTCTAGCAGAACTGTGCGGCATTGCAGAAATCACACGCAGGTACCTGGGTATGCCAACTAAAAATGTAAGCGTTTGTTACATATGTTTGATATGGCTACAGATTGACTTAAAGTGTTACTAAACCCACAACAGTAAAATCAGTCTGTATATGCAGTAAAAATGCTTGTTATAGCCACTGTGGAACCTAAGGGGTTAATCCTCTGCATTGTGTAATAAGGCCGTTTGATCCTGACTGCTCTGTTCCTCCCCTTGTTCATGCATCCACCTCTTATCTCCTGAAAAGACAGACTGCACCGTAGGCATTTTTCACATACTCAGTTTACTGTGTATTGCTAGAGAGGTTTTTTTCTTCTTGGGAGAGTGCATGTGATCAGCACAGGGCCAAGCAGCACTGCTCAGACAGAGGTCAGGGGTTTTGCATCCTCATAGAGCAT